TTCAACAGATCGTTCTGGGACAATTAGATATCCACATACAAAGGAATGAATTTGGACCCCCTATTTCATACTGAATACAAAATTAATTCAAAATGGATCATAGACCTAAATGTAAGAATTAAAGTTGTAAAACTTTAAGAAGAAAACATAGGTGTAAATCTTCATGACCTTTGGATTAGGCAATAATTTCTTAGATATGATACAAAGCTCAAGGGGCAAAAAAAAAAAATAGATAAGTTAGACTTCATCAAAGTTATAAACTTTTGTGATTCAAGGAGTCCATTAAGAAAATGAAAAGACAACTCACAGAATTTGAGAATATATTTGCAGATCAAATATCTGATAAAGGACTTATACTGGAATATATAAAGAACTCATAGCTGAATAATAAAAACACAAATAACCCAATTAAAATGTGAATAGACATTTCTCCAAAGATATGCAAATGGTGAATAAGCACAGGAAAAGATGTTCAACATCAATCATTATCTAAACATAAATCAAAACTACAGTCGGGGCTTCCCTGGTGGCGCAGTGGTTGAGAGTCCGCCTGCCGATGCAGGGGACACGGGTTCGTGCCCCGGTCTGGGAAGATCCCACATGCCGCGGAGCAGCTGGGCCCGTGAGCCATGGCCGCTGAGCCTGCCTGTCCGGAGCCTGTGCTCCGCAACGGGAGAGGCCACAACAATGAGAGGCCCACGTACAGCCAAAAAAAAAACCCCAAAAAACTACAATCGGATACCGTTTCACACCCTCTAGGATGACTGTAATGAAAAAGACAGACATTAGGTGTTGGCGAGTATGTGGAAAAATAGGAACCCTCATGCATTGCTTGTGGGAATGTAAAATGGTGCAGCCAATTTGGAAAATAGTTTGGCAGTTCCTCAAAATGTTAAACATAGAGTTACCATGTAAGCCAGCAATTCGACTCTTGGGTATATACCCAAGAGAACTGAAACATTCACACAAAAATTTGTACATTCATGTTCATAGTGGCAGTATTCATAATAGCTAAAAAATGGAAACAACACTAATGTCCATCAACTGATGAATACATAGATAAAATGTGGTATAATATATTCATAAAGTGGAATAATATCCATAAGCTGAAGTGTTGTAATGTTTCATGCTACAATATGGACGAACCTTGAATACATTATGCTAAGTGATAGAAGACAGACACAAAGACCACAGTATCACATGGTTCCGTTTATTTGAAATTCCCAGAATAAGCAAATCTATAGAGACAGAAAGTAAATTAGTGGTTGATAGGGGCTGGGTGGAGGGGCAAGTGGGGAATGACTGCTAATTGGTATAGGGTTTCTTTTGGGAATGATAGAAGTTTTTGGAATTAGATAATGGTGATAGTGGCACAGCTTTGTGACTATACCAAAACACACTGAACTGTATATTGTAAAAGGGTGAATTTTATGGTATGTGAATTATATTTCCATTTTAAAAGTTGAGTGCCTTGTTGGCATGGAACTCTAAATGACTATTTTCTTCTGCATTGAATGGGTAGAAATGGGCTCTCTGAAGAGATTCATTGCCTCTCTAGTAGTACGGTAATTCTTGATTCAGCCCATTCAGTAATCTTAAATAATCATTCATTCTGTTTGTCAGGATCTTTGTTTTCTTTTCCTTCTGGGCCCATGATAGATATTTGTTTCTCCATGTGCCTGAATTAAGTGTAGCCATGTGACTATTTTTTTTGTCAATGAAATGTGAACAAAATGATGTGTGTCATTTCTAGGGGGCAGCCGTTAGAGTTAGTACACTCTTTGCCATCTTCCTGTCCCTGGATGGTGGAGCCTTTATTAGCGTATGTCCCTCTGTTAGGACAGTGTGGAGCTAAGCCTTTTGCCAACCCACAACTGTTCATTTGTGTTTAAATGGGAAATAAACCATCATTCTTGTAAGCACTGAGATTTGGGAGTTGCTGATTACTACAGTACAATGTAGTCTTTTATGACTAATGTACCAAGTTAATTTACTGTTAACTTTTACACTTTCTCTTATTCCAGTCTGCTATCAAAACTGCTTTAAAAATCTGCTTCTGAGGTTATGGAGTGTGCCATAGATACTAATCAGTGAGACTCTCCAGGTCATTTTTGACTAGCTGCTGCCAGCCATTAGGAGTTTTGGACTGCAAGATGCTAGTTTATTGAATTTTACTGTACTGACATGTATAAATATGCACCAAAAGTGTTGGAATTACTTAGAATGAGAAGATTATTATATTTTGAAAATTATTTTAGACAAAGAAGAAGTTGGGACCTTCAAGGACGGATACTTTAAAAAATATATATATATATGCTTCACACACACACACACACACACACACACACACACACACACACACACACATTTGACACACTGCGCGGCTTGTGGGATCTTTGTTCCCCGACCAGGGATGGAACCCAGGGCCCTGGCAGGGAGAGTGCCGAGTCTTAACCACTCTGATTGCCGTGGCTAGGACTTCCAAAACTATGTTGAATAATAGTGGCGAGAGTGGACATCCTTGTGTTGTTCCTGATCTTATAGGAAATGCTTTCAGTTTTTCACCATTGAGAATGATGTTTGCTGTGGGTTTGTCGTATATGGCCTTCATTATGTTGAGGTATGTTCCCTCTATGCCCACTTTCTGAAGAGTTTTTGTCATAAATGGGTGTTGAATTTTGTCAAAAGCTTTTTCTGCATCTATTGAGATGATCATATGGTTTTTATTCTTCAATTTGTTAATATGGTGTATCACATTGATTGATTCACGTATATTGAAGAATCCTTGCATCCCTGGGATAAATCCCACTTGATCATGGTGTATGATCATTTTAATGTGTTGTTGGATTCTGTTTGCTAGTATTTTGTTGAGGATTTTTGCATCTCTATTCATCAGTGATATTGGTCTGTGATTTGCTTTTTTTGTAGTATCTTTGTCTGGTTTTGGTATCAGGGTGATGGTGGCCTCGTAGAATGAGTTAGGGAGTGTTCCTTCCTCTGCAATTTTTTGGAAGAGTTTCAGAAGGATGGGTGTTAGCTCTTCTCTAAATGTTTGATAGAACTCACCTGTGAAGCCATCTGGTCCTGGGCTTTTGTTTGTTGGAAGATTTTAAATCACAGTTTCAATTTCATTACTTGTGATTGGTCTGTTCATATTTTCCATTTCTTCCGGGTTCAGTCTTGGAAGGTTATACGTTTCTAAGAATTTGTCCATTTCTTCCAGGTTGTCCATTTTATTGGCATAGAGTTGCTTGTAGTAGTCTCTTAGGATGCTTTGTATTTCTGCGGTGTCCGTTGTAACTTCTCCTTTTTCATTTGTAATTTTATTGATTTGAGTCCTCTTCCTCTTTTTCTTCTCATTAGTTCTTTGAAAATATTTTAAATAACTGCTTTGATGTCTTTGCTAGATGCAGTATCTGGGAACCATGAAAGACTCTATTGCCTGCTTATCTCTTTTCTTATTATGAGTCACATTTTCCTATTTCTTCTCATGTTTCATAAGTTTTTTGAAAATTGGACAACATAGGGACTTCCCTGGTGGTGCAGTGGTTAAGAATCGCCTGCCGATGCAGGGGACACGGTTCAACCCCTGGTCTGGGAAGATCCCACATGCCGCAGAGCAACTAAGCCCGTGTGCCACAACTACTGAGCCTGCGCTCTAGGGCCCGCGAGCCACAACTACTGAAGCCCACGCGCCTAGAGCCCATGCTCCACACCAAGAGAAGCCACTGCAATGAGAAGCTCGCACACCGCAATGAAGAGTAGCCCCTGCTCGCCGCAACCAGAGAAAGCCCGCGCAGCAACGAAGACCCAATACAGTCATAAATAAATAAATAAAATTAATTACAAAAAAAGAAAATTGGATAATATAGATAACATATTGTAGCAGCTGTGGATTCTGATTGCATCCTTTCTACCGCTAAAGCTTGTCATTGCTAATTTCTGTTTAGTAACTTGCCTAGAGTAAATCTGTGAAATATGTTTGTCCTGTGGTATGTGGAAGCAAATGTCTTTGCTCAGTTTATTATTATTGTTGTTGTTTTACTTATAAGGCTGGTTTCTGGTGTCACCCCTTATATCAGCCAATCGTTGGTGAGAAATTGTGCTCAAAGACAGAGCCAGTAAGCCTTTTCCCTGCTGCTGACAGATCTGTGTGTAGATTGGGTAGTGCATTGGAAATTCAGATCATTTTCAAGTTTGTCCCAGTTTTAATGTTCCACTGAGACTTCTTGTATCTCCATCCTGGAATGTGTGGATAGTTTGGGATTTCTCCAATCTCTGTTACACATGCGTGTAGTCCCTGTTTATTTAGGAGTACATGGAGAGTTTATCAAGTTCATCTGTGGCTGTCTCTCTTCTAAGATCTCTCTGTTACACCCCCTACTGATCTGACAGTATGCTTGTTTGTTGTCCTAACTGGGACTTCAACCTCCACACACTTGGATAGCTTCAGAATTTTTCCTTTCACTTCTGGGATAGGTTTTCTGCTTTCCACTCTGAATCAGCTAAGTCCTGCGCTGCTAGTTTTCATGGCCTGTTCCACCTTTGTAGAAGTACTATACTGACTTAACTTGTGGGGGAGGAAGAGTAATGTGAGCAGGCCCAGGAAAGAGTGCCACAGACTTCTGATGCTCATACGCAGGTTCAGTAGATTTTCCTGAGAAAATATTTCTCCATTTATTGTATGCCTTTAGTCAGTTTCCAATCATCTGAGATGATTGTTTTTGACAGTTGTTTTTTTTTTTCCCCCAGCTGTATATTTGACTTTGCAGGGAGGATTTGCCAAAGTCCTCACTCCATCATCCTGGAAGCATCCTTTGCTTCCTTTTGGTGTTTTTTGAAATGTTTATGTGGTTTTTCATATAAAGACAAACAAAAATATTGCATAAAAAGTGTATAATTTTAAAGTCCATTTTAATTTTATTTTCTAAGATACTACAATTCAGTTCATTTAATGATGATCATAATTAAACAGAAAATTAATTTTTTTATTGTTGCAGATTTCAAGTTCTGCCTATAAAGACAGGAATGAGGAGTATAAAAGACAGTTCACACATCTACCTGATACAGAGAAGCTGATAGCAGGTAAAAAACCAGGAAGTTACAAAAAACCCTTTTACTACCACATCAAAGTAGAGCTGATGAGTGACAATATTTGTAGAAAATTTAAGCCTTTATGCTACATAGAAACTTTTTTTTTTTTTTTTTTGCGGTACGCGGGCCTCTCACTGTTGCGGCCTCTCCCGTTGCGGAGCACAGGCTCCGGACGCGCAGGCTCAGCGGCCACGGCTCACGGGCCCAGCCCCTCCGCGGCATGTGGGATCTTCCCAGACCGGGGCACGAACCTGTGTCCCCTGCACCGGCAGGCGGACTCTCAACCACTGCGCCACCAGGGAGGCCCCAGAAACTATTTTTTGAGATAAGCAACATCTTATCATCTGTAATTAGACAATGTAAAACTAAGTTGTAATTCAGGGAGGCGTGATTTCTGCGGTATTAAGTACAATTGACCCTTGAACATTGAAGGAGTTAGGAGCGCTGACTCTGCAGTCAAAAATCCACGTATAACTTATAGTCAGCCCTTCATATCTGCTGTCCCTCTGTGTCTGTGGTTCTGCATCCATAGATTCGACCAACCACAGATCTTGTAGTACTGTAGTATTTACTATTAAAAAAAACTTGCATATAAGTCCACCCACACAGTTCAAACCCATGTTATTCAAGGGTCAATTATACTCGCTAAAAAATAGACCTAAGAGGAAATGATTTGTCAGTTTCTTCTGGTGCTTGTTTCATATGGTTTTGTAGGGAAAGTTTAAATTTGATGTTCAGTATATATTACTGTTCCTCAGAAAAAAGTGCTCCTTAGCAGATAATAGAGCAATTTTATAAAATCTTTTAGGGCTTTATCATTATTCATATCATCTTTCAGGTAGATTTTTTTTGAAATAGGCCTTAAGAGGAAAAATTTAGTCATAGAACTTACAAAAGTGCTTTATTTTTGCTATAAGTATAATATAGATTCTTTACCATCAAAATACTGAAGTTGGCTTTAGTTTTAGTACATATTTCATTTAAACCATTTATTCATGGGAATTTCTCAGATTTCTGGTGCTGTTGGTTAATATTCAATTCAATGTAACTGAATTTCTAGAGAGTTCAGTTTAGTTCTTTAAATAGCAAAGAAATGAATCAAAACAATTTTTAAAAAGATTGGAATGTAATATAGTCTCACGATAATAGAGTGTATGGTAAAAAAGTGAAAGATCATTTCACCCAAGACCACTCTGACCTTTTTCCTGGGTGATAACCACTTTTAACAATTTCTTATGTATATTTCCAGAAATTTTCTGTATGTATATCAAGGGGAATATAAGAGAACTTAAATGGGAGCACACTGTGCTTACTGTTTTCAGTCTTGTTTAGAGCTCTATTAGCACTACTTATGGATCCACTTCATTCTTTTAATGGCTGCCTAGCAGTCAATTGAATGAATTTTGTACCATAATTTGTTTAATAAATCCCCTCCTGATGGACATTTTGATTGCTTCCTGTCTTTTGCTATTACCACTAATGCTACATTGAACCTTCATGTTCATTTGTTTTGGCACGTATGTGCCACATGTATTGTAGGTTAAATTCCTAGAAGTGGAATTGTGACTAAAAGGTAATAAGCATTTAAAAGGTTTATACTGTTGCCAAGTTATCCTCCAAAAAGGCTACACCAATATTCATTCTCATCAACAGTGTATGTAAGTATCTGTTGTGCCACACCTCAGGAACTTGGCTTTAGCAAAATTTGGTAGATAGAAATTGTATTTAAATATGCATTTCTTTAATTATGAGGGAGGTTGAACATCTATAAATCATTTGTATTTTTCTGTGAACCTTTCTTTTTATAAACTTTGCCCATTTTTCTAGCAGTTATTTGTCTTTTTCTTGTAATAGCTTGTTAGATATTAAAAAAAATTAGATATTTTTAGGGCTTCCCTGGTGGCGCAGTGGTTAAGAGTCTGCCTGCCGATGCAGGGGACACGGGTTCGTGCCCCGGTCATGGCCATTGAGCCTGCGCATCCGGAGCCTGTGCTCCGCAACGGGAGAGGCCACAACAGTGAGAGGGCCACATACAGAAAAAAAAAAAAAAAAAAAGACATTTTTCACATGTTGTTGCAAATGTGTCTTGCCAGTTTTGTCACTTGAAATCAAATACTTTTCATGGAAACCTTTATAAAATATTTTATACTCATCACTGCTTTCTTGAAAGAAATTAATCTGATAATACAGTGATATATACTCACTATAAAGCATTAAAGCCATACAGAAATGTATAAAGAAAAAACTGAAAATCATTGGTGATCCTACTACCTATATGTAATTTTGCTTAATATTTTGTAGATATCTTTCAGTATGTATATTTGCTTTTAAAAATTTACATTTTTGTGTTTTTCCTCACTCACTGCTATAATAAACTTGTTCATTGTATAAAATTTGGAAAATACAGGTATTTACAAAGTAGAAATCTAAAACCACCTATAATTGTACTATCTGGAAATAATGTCAATGACACACATATCTATACAAATTAAAATATCTAATTGGTATCATTCTGTACAAATCGCTTTAAGTTCTTCGATTTAACCACATATTGGATCACTGTCTTCTGAAACAGAGAATCTTAAATTTAATTTAAACTTTTATTTTAAAAAACAACTCATTGTCATTTCAAATCCACAATATTATACTTTATAGGCTAGTTCAATAAATATTTATTAGTATTCAGTATGTGCCACACACCATACTGTTTCTGAAGAACTTGGAGTGTGGTGGGAGAGCAAACACATATAAACAAATCACTATGATTCAGGGTGATATGAACAGTTTTAACAAGGTACAGAAGTGGTACAAAGGAAGACATAACATGTTGGAGGAAGGCAAGTATTTTAATTTTGGGCATGTTGAGGTTGAGTTGCCAAGACAACTAAAAAAATAAAAAATACATATACATATATATGTGTATATATATAATATAAATATTATCTGGAAATAAAGATTTAGTGTACACCACAGTAACCTTCTAACTTGTCTCTCCCCTATTCTTATGTGCCTTCAATCTGTTCAATACTGTAGCTATAGTGGTTTTTCTAAGATGCAAATCTGATCAGATTAAAACCCTTCATGGATAGTATTCCAATGACCTTAGAATAAAGCTTGACTGCCTGACTTACGTGGCCTTTCATGTATGTTAAATATCCTCTCATCCCTCATCCTTCATCAAGGTCCCTTCAGTCTCTAGCCTTCTGAAGGCAACCTTCTTTAGATATGTCATTTCCTTTTGTTTTCAGGCTTTTTTACTTCAGTTTGCCTAGAACTGTTTTCCCTCCTCTGTACCAGGCTATCTTTTGTCTATATATTTTTAGATATATATTTATGTATTATATATATTTACATATATATTTTATTTGAATATTTCTCATTTAGCAATGCCTTTACTGTAAATTTGACTGGATTGGTACAGCTCTCATATTCAGCTACTGCACCCCAGAGTAACAGTAGTAGTAGTTAAAATACTGAAACACTGACTGGTAAATAGCCACTGCCTTTAGCCCCCCAAGTGACTCCTCATACCTTAGCTCTCCTGGCTTCTCTTCTAGGATTCCCAGGGCCTTCCCGTGATCCAGCAATGAAAGGTTTTATATCTGACATAGAAAGGTCCCTGTAGAACTCTGATCCAACACTATGGTTGGTGATCAGTGCTGTTACTTTAAATATCACCTCTGGATAGATGCCTCCACTCTGTGTTCCCTTAAGTGCCTTGCACTTTCCTCTATCATATATTTACATAATCATTATCTATATTATTTGCTATTGTAACCCTGATACCAAGGTCAGTACTTGACTTATAATAATGGGTGCCCAGTGATTGAATGGATGGTTGATGGATAGAGGAATGAGTGAGTAAATGAATATCAATGTCACTTAAAATCAGGAGAATAGATGAGCTCAACCATGGATAACATATAGAGTTAAAAGAACACTAACAAAAGAATCATGGCAGGAGTAGAAGAAGAAAATCCAGTAAAAAAATTCAGAAGGAAAGGTCAAATAATGTGTGAAGATCCAGAAGAAAGGAGTATCACAGTGTTTCAGGGTGCAACAAGTTGTAAGAATCAGAATAATTTAACAGTGTGAAATACAGTTGAACGAAATGAAAATAACAGTTTGTGGGACTGATCTAAAGTAACTATATAGAGGAAATGTATAGTGTTAAATGAATATATTAAAAAACAAAAAGGAAGTAAAATCAGTAACTTATGCTTACCCCTAATAAATCTATAATAGAAGAGGAAACTAAACCTAAAGCAAACAAAGGGAAAGAAATGATAAAGACCAGAGCATAAATTAATAAAATTAAGAATAGAGAAAACCAATGAAGCAAAAGCTGGTTCTCTGAAAAGATGAATAAAATTGAGAGACTGAGAGCCTGGTTGACCAAGAAAAATGACAGATGACACATATTACCAATATCAGGAATGGAAAAGAGGCCATCACTACTGATCCCATGGATAGTAAAAGGATAATAAGGAAATACTATGAACAACTCTATGCCCATAATGCAGTCATTTAGATAAAATAGACTAATTCTTTGAAAAATACAAACTACCAAACATCACACAAGAAGAAATGTATAGCTGGAATAGTCCTATACCTAGTAAAGAAATTGAATTTGTAGTTAAGAACCTTCCATAAAAAGAAAACTTGATCTAGATAGTGTCACTGGTGAATTCTATCAACCATTTATAGAAGAAATAGTATCATCCATTCCAGAAAATAAGAAGGATCACTTCCCAACTCATTTTATGAGACTAGTATTACCAAAATACCAAAACCAGACGGAAACATTCCAAGAAAAGACCAATATCTGTCATGAACATAGAAATAAAAAGTTGAAACAAAATATTAGCAAATGAAATTCAGCATTTATAAAAGGGATTATAGATTATGACCAAGTGAGGTTCATTCCAGGAATGCAAGGCTGGTTAAACACTTAAAAAAAAAAAATCAATGAAATTTATCATCTTAACAGACCAAATATGGAAAACCATGTGATCGTCTCAATAGATGCAGAAAAAGTGTTTGACAAAATTCAACATTCATTCATAAGAAATCTCTCAGCAAGTTAGGGATAGAACTTCAATCTCCTTAGAAGTAGCTATGAAAAACCTACAGCTAACATTATACTTAATGATGAGAGAGTGAATGCTTTCCACTTAAAATTAGAAACTAGGCAAAGATGTCCTCTCTCACTACTCCTACTCAGCATTGTACTAGAAGTTGTAAGTATAATGAGTGAATTAGACTTGAAAAGGAAATAAAAGGCATATACATTAGAAGAACAGGAAAAAAACCTAACTTTATTGCCAGTAGACATGATTACTCATGTAGAAAATCTCAGATAATCTACAAAAAACTTCTAGATTTAATGAGTGAATTTAGTAAAGTCTCAGGATTGAAGGTCATTTGAAGGTAAAATAAAGGGTCATATTTATATGTACTAGCAAAGAACAATTGGAATTGAAATTTTAAAAATACCATTTACATCAGAACTTACCAATAATGAAGCACTTAGGTATAAATCTAACACATATGCAGGCTCTATATGCTGACAACTGTAACACATTGACAAAAGAAGTCTAAATAAATGTTTATAGATTGAAAGACTCAATATTGTTAAGATCTCAATGAAAAATCCCAGCAAGCTTTTTCATAGATGAGTAAAATGACAAACTGATTCTAAAATTTATACAGAAAAACAAAGGAATTAGAATAGCCAAAATAATTCTGAAAAAGAAGAACAAAGCTGGAAGACACACATTACTCAATTTCAAGACTTATTATGAAACTACAGTAATCAGGAAAGTCTGAGATTTGCCAAAGGATAGACATTTAGATAAATGGAACAGAAAAAAGTCCAGATATAAATTCATACAAATATTGTGAACTGATTTTTGACAAAGGTGCAAAGGCAATTCAATGGAGAGAAGTTAGTCTTTTCAACAAATGGTGCTGGAACAATTAGACGTCCATATGCAGAAAAGCAAACCTTGATGCCTGCCTTACACTTTTTACGGAAATTACCTCAAAATGGATCATAGAACTAAATGTAAACTGTAAAACTTTAGAACTTCTAGAAGAAAACATCTGGGTTTTTCTAGAGGAAATCTCTATGAACTAGGATTCGATGGTGAATTTTTAGATGTAATACCAATAGCATGATTCATACAAGAAAAGAATTGATAAATTGTACTTTTTTTGCTCTGCAAAAGATGCTTTTTAGAGAGTGAAAATATAAGACACAGGGAGAAAACAGTTGTTAATCACATATCTGATTTTTTCTTTTTAAAGAAACACTTCTATCCAGAATAGAAACTATTCTTAAAAGTTAACAGTAAGAACACAAACAACCCAATTAAAAAATAGGCAGATGCTTTACCAAAGGAGATATATGGATAGCAAATAAGCATATTAAAAATTGCACACTGTCATTTGTCATTGGGAAATACAAACTAAAAGCACAATTAAATAAACAGCATAGCTAATAGTCTTACTAAAATTAAAAACAGGGACTTCCCTGGTGGTCCACTGGTGAAGAATCCACCTTCCAATGCAGGGGATGTGGGTTTAATCCCTGGTCAGGGAACTAAGATCCTGCATGTCTCGGGGCAACTAAGCCCACGTACCACAACTACTGAGCCCATGCACCTCAACGAGAGAGCCCGAGTGTCCTGCAGCCCATGCACCACAACTAGAGAGAAAAAAACCTGCATGCCACAACTAGAGAGAAGCCCGAGCACCACAAGGAAGAGCCTGCGTGCCTCAACAAAAGATCCCACGTGCCGCAACTAAGACCTGATGCAGCCAAAAATAAATAAATAAAAAGTATTAAAAAATTAAATTAAATTAAAAAACAAAAACAAAACAACTGACAACAGCAAATGATGATGAGGCTGCAAAGCTATAGCAGCTCCACTGTGTTGGAAGATGTGGGTGACTGTGGCTGACCTCTACCATAGGGAGTTCACCAGCCAGTTATTTGATATCTGTCCCTGTTCTAGCTGTCCCTCTTTGTACCTGCTGATTCTAATTGTGAAGTCTCTCTGGGGTGGCATAGGGAAGAGTGGCTGTTATCTCTGCTGCAGCCTTCCCGTATATTTTTTGAGCTGAGGCTTTCTCCACGCTGTGGTTTATACATTTTTATCCACTTTTTGTCTTCTAAAATTTATCAAAACTTCTAGTTTTTATACCCACCCCTCAGCATTGTTACGAATTTAATCTCTTTCATACGTTTTCCCTGTCATTTCAAAGGAATTTTGGAGCAAGAGGGGAAGTAGACACGTGTCAACTTAGACCGGAAGTTCTATGTACTAGTTTTGTACTAAAATAACAATATTTACACTGCTAAATATGTTTGTTGATTTGAATGTGTTCACCTTGGGAGAATGCTTTTTTCAGTGATGTCATTGCTCAAAACATTTTTTAATTCTCTGATTAAATGAGTGAACAAGGCAGATTTTCATGCTGGAACATGTGTTGGGAAAATATAATTAAAAACAAAATATCCTACCACCCCAGAAAACCTCTCCACAAAAGTAAAAGAGAAAGAAAACACTTGGTTTTATTATTGAATAAACATTAAACTAGAATGTGATGTGCATCACAGGCAGTCTGCAAAAGACATTGTGAAGGCAGAAAGAAATCTCACCCTTTTATATAGGCAGGCAGGTACAACCATTACACGTTCTAAAGATAAATGGTAATTAGTCCTGGGCTTCCCTGGTGGCGCAGTGGTTAAGAATCTGCCTGCCAATGCAAGGGACACAGGTTCAATCCCTGGTCTGGGAAGATCCCACATGCCGTGGATGCAACTAAGCCCATGCGCGCTCCACAACTACTGAAGCCCATGCGCCTAGAGGCCATGCTCCGAAACGAGAAGCCACTGCAATGAGAAGCCCGCACACTGCAACAAAGAGTAGCTTCCGCTCGCTGAAGCTAGAGAATGCCCACGTGCAGCAATGAAGACCCAACACAGCCAAAAAAAATAAATTAAAAAAAATTTTTTTTTCATTTCTTGCCTAGGACATATTGCTAGGAAACTATCTTACAAAAAATCAATTTTTGTGAGGTATAAGTTTACTACAATAAAACACACCTGTTTTAGGGAGACTTTTTAAAAACCACTGGAAAAAATCTGTCAATCTATATCAATTAGTCTTCAGTTAAAATGTTAGCATAGCTTTGAATAGAGTTAATGTAAAATAGTGCAGCTGTTCTCAAAATGTGGTCCACAGACTAGCAAAGTTGGCATCACCTGGGACCTTGCTAGACGTGCGGACTCTGCCCCCAGCCCAGATGTATTTAATCAGAAACTCAGGGAGGGGCCTAGCAATCTGTGTTTTAATAAATCTACCAGGTATTTCTGATCTGATATTTGAGAGGCATGGAATTAATAAAGTGTTTCAGCGTTTTAGATAAAAATTTCAGGATACTTCAAGGTGACCTTTAGCCCCGTCCCTGTTTTAGAGATGCATACTAGTAAAAGAGTAACTTAATCTGCTTATTTACTAGGATTTTTTTCTTTTTTTTGGTTTGATGGCATCTCAGTTTTGTTTTGCTGAAGGAAGCACTGTGAAAGACTGCATTCCTTTGCTCTATTTTTAGTGTTTGCTTAGAAATTTACCACAAGCAAATTGAAATATTTTAAGGTTCATAACCTCAATAACTTTTTCCTAAAATTGCTAATCACTTTATATAGTTTTAAAATTTATCAATTAAACTAAATCTCTTCACAGCAGCTCTTTATATCTTATATTATTAATAATTTAGCAATGCTATTTACTTCAGTCACAGAGACAGGTCTTAATCTTAGAGGCATAGTATTAACTTGCTTGTAGACAGTGGCATTTACCAGAGCACTCCTGATTTTGCTGGATTATAGTGCTGAGGTAGAGAGGATCAAACTTGAAACTAAACTTAAAATGTATACAATTTTTAGAGTCATCCTTGTTCCCTCCCTCACCCTCATCCAACATCTAATTAGTTACCAATTCCCCATCAGTACTACCCCTTAAATATCTCTGAATCTAACTACTTCTTTCTCTAGTACTGTCATCTTTTGGTCTGAGCCACCATCAATTCCCCCCTGGATTTCCAACTGATTTATCTGAATCCATACTCACAGTGTGAATAAAGTGGTCTTTAATAACATACATCTGATCATGTCCTCCCACTTAAAACTCATCGATGGCTTTTCATAAAATCCACGCTATGCCATGGCCTGTGAGGCCTTACATGAGCTAGCTTCTCCAGCTTCTCTAGCAAGAGATCTATCTTTGTATAGTTGCTCAAAGATGTTGTTTCTTTCTACCACAGGGCCTTTGCACATGCTGTTCCCTCATGTTCCTGCTGACCCTTTGTTGATCTTCAGATCTCAGTTTATAGATTACTTTTTCTGGAGAACTTTTCCATGTATACTCTCCCTGCCCACTCCCCCATACCTGTATACCCTTTGCTATATGCTCTCAGCTTTCTCCACACTTTGGTCATTATACTTATTTTTCTATTTGTTTATTGTATGCCTTCCCCTCTAGACAGTGTTCCATGAGGGCAAGGTCCATTTCTGGTAACTCTAGTGACTAGCAAAATATCTGGTGTATAGTGCCCAAAGTATAGGAATAAGTGAATGAATGAATGAATGAACTAATGAACAAAGTGATGACTTTCCATGTGTTAAAGTAGTATAAGATTTATGAAGTTGCCACATTTTTTTGTTACTAACCTGTTCCTTATTATTATTATTTTTTAATGTAGATTATGCTTGTGCTCTTCAGAGGGACATTTTGCTTCAGGGACGGCTATACCTTTCAGAAAACTGGCTATGTTTCTATAGCAACATCTTCAGATGGGAAACTACAGTAAGATGTATTTTCATTTGATTTGCTGATACAAATAGTTGCATAGATAGAAATGTATACAGTCCTTCTGAAAACAATGTACTTTAGATTTCAAAGTAAGTTACATGTATTTATCTATACTTGTATACATCTAAATATATTTATGTGTAGTATAAATGTGTAATATATTTTTCTTAATATATTGAGCTCCATTTGTGTATATTTAATATAGTTGGGAAGAGAGATTTCAGGTTGAAAAAAGCTTGAACATACCTCCTTTTGGCTGCCAAAAGCATGTCTTATGTGACAGACTGTCTGAATTTTTTGTGTGTATTTATGTGTCTTTGTGTGTGTTAATGTGGAACATAAATACCCATGTGTCTTCTCACACTTTATCCTAATATTATGTATAGGAGCTGATGGAGGAAATTACTGAAGGGAAGAATACCTGTTCACTGTGTTTATCTCAGAGAATGCGGGCATGTGCTTATTAACTCCTTTAGGTTTTTCACCTGAATATTCTGGACTAGATTGATGTAATACTTGGTATTTTGTGTTGTGTATGTTTCTGAGAAATTCGTTTTGCAATTTTTTATCCTTTTTTGTGTGTTTAGATTTCTATTGCTTTAAAGAACATAACCTTTATGACCAAGGAGAAGACCGCTCGACTCATCCCAAATGCTATCCAGATCTTTACAGAGGGTGAAAAGGTGAAAAACTTTTCTACCTTTGCCTTGTAACATAATGTGGAGAAAATCTGCCTCATACTGATCATCAATGTTGGGAATGTAAGCAATTCTTCTTGGAGTTAGGAATATTTAATAGTATTAATACTAGATTTCTGTATACTTAAATACTTATTAGTGACTAACTTTAAATGACTGCTAAAATTTTTTGTAGTTTATAGTTTACAGAGAAATTTCTCCCATATTTTTCATTTCTTCATTATAAGAGGTAGGTAGCCTTAGCAAGCCTTAGCCTTAGCAAATATCCTTATTATTTCTAAATACCCTATAATTCCATGATCGTTGTTTGGTCAATAATACCTGCACAATAGCAACTAATAAAAACCAGAGTGAACAGAGATTTGGTAGCATACAAATAAACACATAATCACTACAATCTTTTTTAGAATGGGGATTTTCTTTAATTGCCATCATTTTTATTATCCACCTACAATATCCATCATTTCTTGGTATGAAGAATCTTTTTCTACCCACCTGGAAAATTGATACGGGCTCTGTATGTGACATAAGAAGCATAATGCTGAGAAAGAAAAAGAAATAAGGAAGGAAGGAAGGAAGGAAAAAAGGAAAGTATGGAAGGGAATGAAGGAGAAGAAGAAGGAAGAAAGGAAGGAAAGGAGGAAGGAAGGAAGGAAATGAAAAAGAGGAAAGAGAGCAGGGGAGAGGGGAGAGAAACACGATCATGAGATTGAATCATTATGATGATACTTTTTAATCTTGTAAAGTTTCTTTCACATGCACTTTCAGTTTTCTTTCTTTTTTTTTTTTTTTTTTAACGTTATGTGAGCCTCTCACTGTTGTGGCCTCTCCCGTTGCGGAGCACAGGCTCCAGACGTGTAGGCTCAGCGGCCATGGCTCATGGGCCCAGCCGCTCCGCGGCATGTGGGATCCTCCCAGAGCGGGGCACGAACCCGTGTCCCCTGCATCGGCAGGCGGACTCCCAACCACCGCACCACCAGGGAAGCCCTCAGTTTTCTTTTTAAACAATCTCATCCCTACAGAACACTGCCAGGTACAGTACAAAGAACTTTTCCCCTTTGAACTATTTGAGAATAAGTTGTCACTCTGAAGACTTATCACTCCAGACACGATCCCAGATAGTTTATCATGTATTTCTTTTTTTTTTTAAACATTTTTACAGTTTAATTTCAAAGAAAAATCTCAAGTTATATTTATTAGCAAACATATTTCAGCTAGGGAGTTTTTCATCCCCCAAAAAGATGGCAGATGGAAATGAACCTAATATGTGTTTAAAGAAAATATAGCATGTATTTCTAACAAAGACATTCTCCTACATAACCACAACATGACCATCAAATTCAAGAAATTAACATTGATCATTATCACTGCTCAGTTCTCAAACCCGCTTCAGTTTCCTCAATTATCCCAATAAAATCCTATATAGCAAATAGGCCCAGTTCAGAAATATGTATTACACTTAGCTGTCATGCTCCTTAATTTCCTTATTCTGGACTAGTCCCTTAGTCTTGCCTTAACTTTTGTGCCCTTGATGCTTCTAAAGATTGTAGGTGAGTTATTTTGTAGGATATCCCTCAGTTGTGTTTGTCTGATATTTTCTTATGATTAAGTTTAAGTTATACAATTTTGACAGAAATAACACAGAAGTGATACTCTCTTCTTTCCATTGCATCCTATCAAGTGGTACATGATTTAATTTCTACCATTACTGGTGATATTCACTTCGATCACTTGAATAAGGTGGTGTCTGCCAGATATTACTGTAAAGTTAGTCTATGTTCCTTTGTAATAATGTTTTGTGCTCAACTACTTTGAAACTATGTAAATATACTATGCCTCATAAAATGTATTCATTTATTTACTTATATCAATATGACCTCATAGCTTCTTATTTTATTCAATGAATTATAATCCATTGCTATCATTATTTATTTTGATGCTCAAATTGTCCCAAATTTGGCCAGTGGGAGCCCCCTCAGGCTGGCTCCGGTGTCCTTTTGACCATTCTCAGCATTATTTGAGCACTTTCTTGCTTTTTAGCACAAGATGTTACAGGTTTTCTCTGCCGCAGTCCTGGAATCAGCCATTTCTCCAAGAAGTCCTGTTTTGTTTTGGGGGAGACTGATATTTAGAAGCCAGTTTGTTCACTGCTATAGGGTATCACTGTTTGAGCCCTCTAACTGAGCAGAACAAGGGGATATACAATATATAGATAAATTACACACCTATATACATAATACGCACACGTATATTCCCACTTACACATCTACGTTTATCTGTCGATCTATGAACGGTAAATCACCAATTCACATGAATACCTCTAATTCTAGTCCAACAACACAGAGTTATTTTGACTTTTCCCCTTCATTCTTTTTTGGCTGCACCATATGGCATGTGGGATCTTAGTTCCCTGACCGGGATGGAACCCATGCCCCCTGCGTTGGGAGTGCGGAGTCTCAACCACTGGACTGCCGGGGAAATCCCTTTCCTTTTGTATTTGTAACTCCCTTCCCTGACTGAGAGAAACCAGGCTCCCATTATCCTTAATATATTTACTTTGATCAGTGGACCTGTATGTAACGCATCTTCATCTCCTCTGCCGCCCCTTCCCTACACTTGATTTCTGACACGTAGAGTCAGGTTGCTGCCCATCTCACCACCACACTAGGGCTCTCATCCTGAAAAAGCTCTCCTCACCCTGCTTGGGCTCTGATACTCCACACAGGGCAGCCCTTCTACAAGGACAACCTCCTCATTCTTCTCTGACACCCTGCTTTGGGCTACTGCAGCTCCTCCGCCCCTGCCCTTACCTCTAGCGTGGATGCCTTGCTTTCCTCTGTTCCGCTAAACAGCTTTAGGGCCAAACTGTTCAGGAAGGGAACAAGACCTAAAATAAGCTTATTCTTTTTTTTTTTTTTTTGTGGTACGCGGACCTCTCACTGCTGTGGCCTCTCCCGTTGCGGAGCACAGTCTCCAGACGCACAGGCTCAGCGGCCATGGCTCACGGGCCCAGCCGCTCCGTGGCATGTGGGATCTTCCCGGACCGGGGCACGAACCCGTGTCCCCTGAGTCGGCAGGCGGACTCTCAACCACTGCGCCACCAGGGAAGGCCAAGCATTTAAATTTTAATAATGATAACCACAGCTAGTATTTGCCGAACATACTTGTTCTAAATATTGTGCTAAGTTTTTTTTACATGTATTTTCTCATTTAGTTCTCACAAAAATTTGCTACTGAAATTATTCTCATTTTGTAGATGAGGAAACTAAAGAAAATAAAAGTGACTCAAAGTCATAGAACTGAGTGGTAGAACCAGGATATGAACCCAGGTAGTTTAATTGCAGAGACACTGGTCCTAACTACCTCACTGTATTGATTCAGTGATCTCTTTTACCATCATCATGGAGAAAAAAAATCTACACTAAGTATTTATCCCTCCATGCACTGTATGGTTAAGGGAAGGTTAATCATTGTACTTTTAGTTGTTTTCATTTCTAGCATACGTTCTATGCCCCAGCAGCTTAGAGATGTTATTATGCAGAACTCCTCACAAATTAAGGTTATTATTATAATAATTATTATTTATTATTTGGCTGCGCTGCACAACTTATGGGATCTCAGTTCCCCAACCAGGGACTGAACCCAGGCCACGGCAGTGAAAGCCTGGAATCCTAACCAGTAGGCAACCAGGAAACTCTCTAAGGTTATTATAGAAGCAAGATATATTAGTAAATTTTTTTTTTTTTTTTTTTTTTGCCGTACGCGGGCCCCTCACTGCTGTGGCCTCTCCCGTTGCGGAGCCCAGGCTCCGGACGCGCAGGCTCAACGGCCATGGCTCAGGGGCCCAGCCGCTCCGCGGCATGTGGGATCTTCCCAGACCGGGGCACGAACCTGCGTCCCCTGCATCGGCAGGCGGACTCTCAACCACTGCACCACCAGGGAAGCCCTGTTAGTAAATTTTTGAAGTTGGATATCTAACAAGGAATAAAATAAGATGGTAATTTACATGGATTGCCCAGAAAGATGGGAGTGTTAAGGAGTTGAGAATGTGGTTTTGGTATATAAGAGTGGATAAAGTTGATAGCAAAGTATTTAGTTTAAAAAGTGGGAATAATAAGCATAACACCATGGTGAAAAAGAGATGGACTAGGAGATTTTTCTTATCTATATATCTACATACAGGGTTGTAAGATTATTAAAATTTGGTCTAAGAAAAGGAGATAAAGGGTAGTAAATAGTGATCATTAGGTCACAATATTATATGTGTAATTGTGTTTGGAAGAGCTCCTAGATATATCCCCATGATAAAAAGTTTTGCTTTTTGAAGAATATTATATAAACTAGGTTTCAGTTTATTAACTGGAAAAATACTACTTTAAAACCTTTCTATGAAAAATATAAACACCTCAAATACTATTTTGTTTGGCATTTTATTTAATAAATCAAAAATGGAACTGAGCTTTCTCATTCCTAAAAATAGCCGGTCAGTCATGCAAAGTCACTAACTGGGGGATCAGAAGAGACGATCCACTGAGAGACTGTATTTAGTGCTGCCACTTGTCATATTTTCTCATAAAAGCCTATTATAAGATACGACTTTGCAAAAATCATTTACATGCAGAGGAAGAGATGGGGCTAAAAGCAAACATGGAATTATAGATTGAAGTATGCTATTTTTCTTATACAACATTGAAAGCAAAGTTTAGTGTTAACATGGGTGTTTTATATCTATCATTAATTGAGATTATGTATTTCTGGATGTTTTTAGAAGACTATGAAAGATGATATAATTTTAAATTAGGATCCTTAAAATAAATCTATCTCTGAAGTCCACTTGCAGTTTTCTCTTATTCTTTGTGTATATTTGGCTCAAACGGCCACCAAATTATATCTCTCTGCAAAGTTCAGAATAAATAAAATTTTAATTTTTTTCATGTTTATTTAGATTGATTTTAATAATTAAACTACAATGAATGTAAATAGCTACCCAGTTCAAGCTCCTTTCCCTAGTAAATATTGATAAAGTTATTTTGCTGTAAGGTACAATTTTAAAAGACACCTTGTTCATGCACCAGTTACGTGTTTTTTTTCTATTATAATGAAAAGTTTAACAAAAATTAGTATATAAAGTAGGCAATGGTGACCTACTAGTTTGCTTTGACCATATCAAGTCACAGCAGACTGTCATGACAGATACTTCCCCTTTTTTTTCCATGACATTAAAATTGTCCTATTATTTGTCTTTGCAGTTTTTCTTCACATCTTTTGCTGCCAGGGATAGAAGTTACCTCAGTATCTTTAGGTTGTGGCAGAATGTACTGTTAGACAAGGTAAGTGTTCATACCAGAGGCTGGTGCTTGTTATAATAGCAACCTCCCAGTGCGTACCTAAACAGTGTTTGTGAGTTGAAAGCTCTTTTTTATTTTTCTGTGGTTAATTTTGACTAGACTATTCAAATCCAAGAAGAAACTTGAAGCAAAACAAAATCCATAGTTACAAGTTAAGATGTTAATTGTAATCCCCAGAGTAACCACCAAGAAAATAACTTAATAATAACTTACCATCCAAAATATGGTAAAAGAAACATAAAGGGAATGAAAATGGCACACTAGAAATATCTATTTAACACATAAGAAGGCAGTAATGGAGGAATAGAGGGACAAAAAAGACCTAATAAGATAGCAGACATTACATTAGCAAGAAGACAAATAGCAAGATAGCAGACATTACATTAAATTGTTAAACATAAGTGGATTAAACTCCTCAAGCAGAAGGCAGAGATAAACATGATCCAACTACATGCTATCTATAAGAGACACATTAGATTTAAAAATTTTTTTAACACCTTTATTGGAGTATAATTGCCTTACAATGGTGTGTTAGTTTCTGCTTTATAACAAAGTGAATCAGCTATACATACACATATAACCCCATATCTCCCCCCTCTTGCGTCTCCCTCCCACCCTCCCCATCCCACCCCTCTAGGTGGTCACAAAGCACTGAGCTGATCTCCCTGTGCTATGTGGCTGCTTCCCGCTAGCTATCTGTTTTACATTTGGTAGAGTATATATGTCCATGCCACTCTCTCACTTCATCCCAGCTTACCCTTCCCCCTCCCCATGTCCTCAAGTCTGTTCTCTACGTCTGCATCTTTATTCCTGTCCTGCCCCTAGGTTCTTCAGAACCATTTTCTTTTTATTTTTTAGATTCCATATATAGACACATTAGATTTAAAGATAGAAACAGATGGGAAGTAAAAGGATAGAAAAAGATATACTATGCAAACAATATCCAAAAGAGAGCTGAAGTGACTATAGTAATATCAGACAAAATAAGCTTAAAGACAAAAATTAGTAGAGACAAGGAAGAATATTTTATAATAATAAAAAGGTCAATCCATCTGGAATTCATAATAATTATAGACTTATATGCACCTAACAAGAGAACTCTAAAATATATGGAACAGAAATAAATCACCACATAAACATAAATAAATAAATAAGATACATGGAACAAAAACTGGCAGAACTGAAGAGAAAAATAGGCAATCTAACAATAATAGTTGGGAGATTTCAGTACCCCACTTTAAATGATGTATAGAATAACTAGACAGAATATCAACAAGGAAGTAGAAGATGAACAAAACTATATAACTAGAACTAAAAGACATCTGTGGAACATTCCACTCAAAACAGAATACACATCCTTCTCAAGTGTACATGGAACATTCTCAGAATAGACCATACACTAGGTCATAAAACAAGCCTTATTAAATTCAAAAGGATTGAAATAATACAAAATGTGTTCTCTGATCACAATGGAATGAAATTAGAATTCAGTAACAGAAGAAAATTTTGGAAATTCACAAAAAAGTGGGTATTAAGCATAACACGCCTAGAAAGCCAATGGTGAAAGAAGAAATCACAAGGGAAATTAGAAAATACTTTGAGTTAAATGAAAACAAAAACACAACATACCAAGACTTCTGAGATACAGCTAAAGCAGGGCTTAAGAGGGGAATTTATAACTATAAACACCTATATTTAAAAAGAAGAGTGATCTCAAATCAATAAACTAACTTTCTACCTTAAGAAATTAGAAAAAAGAGGAAACTAAACTGAAAGCGAATAGAAGCAAGGAAATAATAAAGATTAGAAGAGAAATATATGGGAATTCGCTGGTGGCGCAGTGGTTAAGAACCTGCCTGCCAATGCAGGGGACATGGGTTCGATCCCTGGTTTGGGAAGATCCCGCATGCCACGGAGCAACTAAGCCTGTGTCCCACAACTACTGAGCCTGTGCTCTAGAGCCCGCAAACCACAACTACGGAGCCTGTGTGCCACAATTACTGAAGCCTGCGTGCCTAGAGCCCGTGCTTTGCAACAAGAGAAGCCTGCACACCACAAAAAAGAGCGGCCCCTGCTTATCGCAACTAGAGAAAGCCCGCATGCGGCAACAAAGACCCAATGCAACCAAAAATAATAAATAAATAAATAAATAAATTTATTTAAAAAAGAGAAATGTATGAAATAAAGAATAGAAAAATAGTGTTATTCAACAGAACCAGAAGTTCTTTATTTGAAAAGATCAACAAAATTGACAAACCTTTAGCTAGGGTTACCAAGAAAAAATTAAAATTATTACATTCAGAAGTGAAAGTGGTAACATTACTACCGGCCTTATAAAAATAAAGGGTTTATACTATGAACAATTGTATGCCAAAAAATTAGTTAACCTAAATGAAATGGACAAATACCTAGAATGTCACAAACTATTAAAACTGACTCAATCAGAAATAGAAAATCTGAATAGACCTATAACAAGGAAAGAGATTGAATTAGTAATCAAAAATCTACCCACAGAGAAAAGCTCAGGCCCAGATGGTTTCATTGGTGAATCCTGCCAAATGTCACAGTAGAATTAATACCAATCTTTCAGTCTTTCACAAAGTATTCCAAAAAATTAAATAGGAGGGAACACTTCCCAACTCAGTCTATGAAGCCTGTATTACCTTGATACCAAAAACAGACAAAGAACATCACAAGACCAATATTTATGTTCATTGTGTCTATGAGTGTAGACACAAAAATCCTCAAGAAAATATTAGCAAACCAAAGTCAGCAACATATAAAAAGATTATATGCCATGATTTATACAAGGTTGTTCAACATATGGAAATTGATCAATGCAATACACTATATTAGAATAGAGGACAAAAAACATGATCATCTCAATTAATACAGGAAAAATATTTGACAGAATCCAACATCCTTTCATGATAAAAAATAAAACAGGCTAGGGCTAGCAGGAAATTTCAACAGCCTGATAAAATTCACACCTACATATTTAATGGTGAGAGACTAATGCTTCCACCTTAAGGTCAGGAACAAGGCACGGATGTCCTTTTTTTGCCACTTCTGTTCAACATTGTATTGAAGGTTCTAGCCAGGGAAATTAGGCAAGAAAAAGAGGTAAAAGACGTCCACATTAAAAATGAAGAAATAGAGACAGCAGAAGCAAGAACTACAATCCTGCAGCCTGTGGAACAAAACCACATTCACAGAAATATAGATAAGATGAAAAGGCAGAGGCTATGTACCAGATGAAGGAACAAGATAAAACCCCAGAAAAACAACTAAATGAAGTGGAGATAGGCAACCTTCCAGAAAAAGAATTCAGAATAATGATAGTGAAGATGATCCAGGACCTCGGAAAAAGAATGGAGTCAAAGATCGAGAAGATGCAAGAAATGTTTAACAAAGACCTAGAAGAATTAAAGAACAAACAAACAGAGATGAACAATACAATAACTGAAATGAAAACTACACTAGAAGGAATCAATAGCAGAATAACTGAGGCAGAAGAATGGATAAATGACCTGGAAGGCGGAATGGTGGAATTCACTGCTGTGGAACAGAATAAAGAAAAAAGAATGAAAAGAAATGAAGACAGCCTAAGAGACCACAGGGACAACATTAAATGCAACAACATTCAAATTATAGGGGTCCCAGAAGGAGAAGAGAGAGAGAAAGGACCCGAGGAAATATTTGAAGAGATTATAGTTGAAAACTTCCCTAACATGGGAAAGGAAATAGCCACCCAAGTCCAGGAAGCACAGAGAGTCCCATACAGGATAAATCCAAGGAGAAACACGCCAAGACACATAGTAATCAAATTGGAAAAGACAAAGAAAAATTATTGAAAGCAGCAAGGGAAAAACGACAAATAACATACAAGGGAACTCCCATGAGGTTAACAGCTGATTTCTCAGCAGAAACTCTACAAGCCAGAAGGGAGTGGCATGATATACTTAAAGTGATGAAAGGGAGGAAGCTACAACCAAGATTACTCTACCCGGTAAGGATCTCATTCAGATTCAATGGAGAAATCAAAAGCTTTACAGAAAAGAAAAGCTAAGAGAATTCAGCACACCAAACAGGCTCTACAATAAATGCTAAAGGAATTTCTCTAAGTGGGAAACACAAGAGAAGAAAAGGACCTACAAAAACAAATCCAAAACAATTTAAGAAAATGGTCATAGGAACATACATATTGATAATTACCTTAAACGTGAATGGATTGAATGCTCCAACCAAAAGACACAGGCTTGCTGAATGGATACAAAAACAAGACCCATCTATATGCTGTCTACAAGAGACCCACTTCAGACCTAGGGACACATACAGACTGAAAGTGAGGGGATGGAAAAAAGATATTCCATGCAAATGGAAATCAAAAGAAAGCTGGAGTAGCAATACTCATATCAGATAAAATAGACTTTAAAATAAAGAATGTTACAAGAGTCAAGGAAGGACACTACATAATGATCAAGGGATCAATCCAAGAAGAAGATATAACAATTATAAATATATATGCACCCAACATAGGAGCACCTCAATCCATAAGGCAACTGCTAACAGCTGTAAAAGAGGAAATCGACAGTAACACAATAATAGTGGAGGACTTTAACACCTCACTTACACCAATGGACAGATCGTCCAAACAGAAAATTAATAAGGAAACAGAAGCTTTAAATGGCACAATAAACCAGATAGATTTAATTGATATTTATAGGACATTCCATCCAAAAACAGCAGATTACGCTTTCTTCTCCAGTGCGCGTGGGACATTCTCCAGCATAGATCACATCTTGGGTCACAAATCAAGCCTCAATAAATTTAAGAAAATTGAAATGATATCAAGCATCTTTTCTGACTACAACGCTCTGAGATTAGAAATCAATTACAGGGAAGAAAACGTATAAAACACAAACACATGGAGTCTAAACAATACGTTACTAAATAACCAAGAGATCACTGAAGAAATCAAA